CTTTATATTTAATTCATACATAGCAATAATCTTTCTTCATCTAATTTCTACCTCTTATCTCTAACCACTTGTAAAATCTATTCCATGTTAAGTAATATTCTGTGTCTTCCCATTTTTCTTTCCTGACAGAACAATTGATCAGTGGGACTGTTTGCCTTCAGAAGTTGTGGGTGCTCCTATCACTGGAGGATTTCAAGAAGTGATTGGACAATCATTTGTCTGAAATGCTATAGGGTCTCCTGTTGTGCAGGGGGTTGGACTAGAAGACCTCCAAGGTCCCTTCCAACTCAAGTTATTTTGTAATTTGACTTAACATGACAAGAGAAGAACAGACAGACATGAACTAAGTGTCTTCCAACTGTTATCTCACTCTGCATGCAATGAAATGATCTGCAACTTATGAAAGCTGATGCTTTTGAACGATTCTCTTAGTTGGAAAGGGGGCTGACAGATTCCTCTGGATTTGTTGTCCCTGCCGATTAACGTGGCCCTCCTCCTACAAAGTTATCAACTCCAGAACTCTGGGGCACTAAGAAGGAATCTCTGAACAGTATCACAACTTAGGGGAAAGATGATGGTATGTGGATGCAGGAAGGACGGTCAAGAACTCTTTTCTATGATCCGAGAGAGAAATAATGAAATGTCCAGGTTGCGATCCAGAAAACCATTGTCCTGCTTGCAGAAATAAGCTCTGACCATGAGCTGCACAATCAAGGAACGGTCCACGGATGAGGTTGTAGGTTCTCCACCTCCACCCAGAAAGGTGGTTGGCCCCCTTTGTTGGAGTCACTCATGAGAGGCTGGACAATACCCATTGGGGTGCTTTGATTGGGATCCCTGTCCTGACCAGAAAATTCAGTTCATTTGGGAACGGTTCAAAGTTACAGCACTGAGAAAAAGTGACTTATGTCCATTTTTCACACTTGCGACCTTTGCAGCATCCCCACGGTCACATGATCAAAATGCTTGGCAACTGACTCATATTTATGATGGTGGCAGGGTCCTTGGGTCGCATGATCCGCTTTTGTGAACCTTCTGACAAGCAAAGTCAATGAGGAAGCCTAGATTCACTTAACAACAGGGTTACTAACTTACCAAATGCAATGATTCACTTAGCAACTGTGGCAAGAAAAGTCTTGAAATGGGGCAAAACTCACTTAACAAACGTTTCACTTAGCAAGATAACTTTTGGGCTCAGTTGTGGTCGTAACTTGAGAACTACCTGGATAGGAAGCAGATCTTTACTGTAAAGCAGTAAACCCCAGTATTATCTTCCTTGAATATACAGAACAAAGCTGACACCAGCCAGGGCACAGAACAGCTCAAGGAAGTAGTGCAAGATTGGAAGAGGTAGAGAGAAGACTGGCCCAGAGAATCATCAAAGTCAGGCACAACTGACTGGATAACATCATCCTCCAATACACAGATTGCAGTGACCAATGATGCTAACTCCACGTAGGGGAAAAAAGAAGTCCTAATGGAAAGAGCATTTGACTGTGGGATCAGTGACCTGGGAAGTTCGAATTGTAACGTTCACCTGAAGTTGAGCCGTCATTCATTCTGAATGCCCTGAACTGAACCCCCAACTCACCCATCCTAGTTCTACAGCTTCTTCCCTTAAACATGCAAAACCACGCCAGTTAAATATCTATGGCTGCATTCGTACAACTTGCAAAGGTTGTTAGTTTTAGCCTTGGTTAGCTTTCTTGTGGCTTAATATGTTCAAAAGAGCTCAGACAGCTATTTGGTTTGTTTCTGATTCGGGGAATCCTGTGGGGAAAAAGCAAGCTACCAAGGGCCGTTATATAAACCCAGCCTTTGTTTGCACAGTACTGGAAAACAAGAGGTGCTTATTTGTAGAGATTATTTCTCTTAATTATTTTCTGAATTGCAATCTAGTTTGACCGGCAAGGAAACAATGAAGTGGGTCTATCATCAAGCCAGTTAGCACCAATTACCCAAAAGTATAAATATGGCCAAACGGTTCAGCCAAAGAATCCATCGGAGTTTGAATAGTTATTCAGAAGTACAGGATGGGCTATGATATACAGCAGCTATTCTGAACACAGTGAAAACACACTTTAAGGGTGCAAGACTCACCTTTGGCTGTGCAATCCTTGGAGCAGGAGGTGGTGATGGTGAGAACAGCGTGGACAAGTCTGAAGTTTGAGAAGGAAGTCCAGGCTGTGAAAAGTCCTTCCACAACTAGGATTTATAAAGGAACAGAAGACTGCCCCCAGCAACTTTGGAAAGGCATTAAATGCAAGGATGAGTCTTTAATCTAAATTCTAAAACATCAGTCCTGATAATTTTTTTTTTTTTAAAGAAATCCCTAGTTCACCTCAAGGTGTGCAATTCAAGCTGGAGGAACTTATGTACCAGAATCTCATCTGGATGCGCATATCAGAAAACCTGGGTGCGGCATTAAAGGGGAAGATAGCGCCAGCCTGATTGTAATGTGCTTTGTTTTCCATTGATTAGGAACCTGGAGGCAAGGGAAATTTTTATTAAGTTGCTGGGCTTCTTTAAAAAAAAAAACCTTGACACATCTGTTTATTTGTAATAAGAGTTTAAAAATTTAGATAGGGAAGAAAAAGGCTGTCTGCAAAAAGGATTGCAAAAGGCTCTACAATCTTGGTTTTTCCAATTCAGAATGCAAAATTCTGGGCTCACTTGTGGCGCTCACAAAAATGGTCAGGTTTTTTTTTAGAGCTTTCTCGCCTTTAACAATGGCAGCAGAATCCCAGGGGCCATTCGCACTTCAGGCCTGGAGTTAGCAGGCCACTCAAACTTTAAGCCAGAGTTGCAAAAGTTGCAAAATTGGTGGCTGAAGGAGACAGGTTCATGCATGCCACAGAACACCTGTCTTCCCCCTTCCTCCCCCCCTTGTTTTTGCAATTTTTGTAGTTGAGAAATATGAAGAGCAAAATTAGTGCTAAATTTTGGAGAAGTTTATGGCATCTATTATGCTTCTTAAATGCAAGAACTACAGTCCCCAAACTAGTCCTCCATGAGTGAAATATATGTGATTGTTGAATTTGATCTGGATTCACAAGAATATAGTTGAACTCATCAATATGCGCACAATTTTCCTTCCTCCAAATGGGAAGAATTTGAAATTAAGAGACACAATTGTGAGAAAAAGCAAAATCCAGAGATTCACCTGTTCCTCAGCTGAGCATGTTAACTAACCTTTTGCTCCTTGACTGCAGCCAGAAATATGAGCCAGAAATAATATCAATAGATTCATCACATACTCATTCAGTAAGGCCTTTTTTTTTAAAAAAAGTAGGACTATCCAAATACCAACCTATAACCTTAGATCTCAGAAGGCTTCATGGGATGGCAGCAGTATCCCACATTTTGCTGCTGCTGTTGTTGCCCCAAAACTTGTGAGACCATTATGTCTGGAGACACGGTAGGTATCTTGCTTGTGAGATCTCTCTCCAAGAATGTATTTATTGATTTATTAATCAAATTTATATTGCGGGCCATCTCTCCCAAAGAAGACTCTGACAGTGCACAATAAACAAATCTGCCAATGTAAAATCGATAAAAATAGAAAATATCTCAGTAATAATTAGCAAAACCACAGAACTTCTAACCCTGGGCAAAGGGAGGATAAAAATAGCTCCCTCAGCAAAGGGGTCACGGGGGGAGATCTTTGGTTCTGGGGTGCCCCAGGCCTGGTAGAAATTCCAGGTCTTGGGGGCCTTCTGAAAAATCCAAGGGAGGGCCAATTTAATTTCAGGAGGGGTAAATGCTCCACAAGGTAGGCATCATGGCAGAGAAGATACCTACCAGATGTAGACCACCACCCCCAACCGAAAGCACTCACAAGCATGCCTTCTCTGCCAGGTTGGAGGAAGTGGGCTCAGGCCACTGGAGAGAGGCAGCTGTTCTCATTCAGTCTTGGCAACTTTAGAACATCTGCTTTAATCCAGAAATGATGACTTCCACCCGCTAGGATCTTGGCCATTTATTCAGTTATGGATGAAAGCAGGTCACTAAAGAAGACGGTGGCTGAAGGCCATCAAAGCTGACACCCACTAGAACATAGATCGACTCAAAGAAGCAGTGCAAGATTGCAAGACGTGGAGACCTGGCCCAGAGAATCCGCCAAGAGTCGGACATGACTGAATAAGTAGCACTGTTATCGTCAAGATGTCATGGTTGATCTTACCATGTAGAGGACTCTCAGTTGCCAATCACTGTCGTAGGCGGAAGCTTTGGAAATCAGAAACCTATTTATTTTTCATATCCAGCCTTTGGTTGGGAGCTAAAGAAGCCTAACTTTCCCTCTTCCTCTTCATTTTCCCACATACTCCCTGTGAAATAGGATCGAGAGACACTCACTGAGCTAAAGTCAAGCTGGAGGTAGGCCTGACCGTTCCCTCCTCCACCACCCGGGCTCTTGACCGAAGGGGAGGAACTGGCCAAAGCCCATCAAAGGACTTCTGTGGATGAAGGGGCATCACAAACTGGGATTTCCTCATCTTTGCCATAATCCACCTCCTTTTTTCCAAAAGGGCATCATGAGAAGATGACACCTCTGATTTTACCCACAAAGATGTATTAAATAATTCCACAAGGGCTTTTTCCCCCCCTCGTTCTTCTTGTAAGAATTTAAGAGTTCATAAATGTGACTGAAAAGCAGGGAAACCAGAGGAAGTGACAACAGTTGTACCAGAAATAAATCTTGAATAGTCCTTTAGGAGTATTCTCCGCTGCTGACAACCCTATTTTCAGTAATTGCAATTTACATACTTTTAACCTTCTGCTGAAGAGTCCAGTCTGGCTCTTTAGAACGTAGCCTGTTCTGGCAATCCTACAAATAATCAAGATTTAATCTCTCCACATCCACTACAAAGGTTGATATATCCTCCAGGATGGCCATTTCAGGGAGATAAGGAGGATAAGAATGGAGTGAGACGGACAAATGCATTCACTTGGAATATCCCCAGGAGGCAGGCCATTGAATTCAAAGTGGGGGGAAATGTGACTAGAACATTTTGGCAAGACTCCCAAGTAATATTTTGATTTTCTTTGTGATATATTCCCTTAGCAGTGCGCTGAATTGAATCTGCTGGTTGTGCAGAAATGTTATAGCTTACATTACTTGCCCAATTGCTAAGATCGATTTAAAAATGTGTTCTTTAAATTCAAAGGATCCTAGAATGAGACTTAATCTCTTCATATTTGGTTATCCTTACTAGATAGCCAGCTTCTGCTTGAAGAAACCACCCTATATAGGAGCCACTGATTGACAGCTTTTCTTGACAGAAGTTCTGATGTCTGATTTGTATCCACATCCTTGACGTTTCCTCCTGTATCCTCATTCACTGTCTCTATATTCACCACTACAAGTCATCACTACAATGTACTTTTACTGCTATTTTGCTTGTACATTTCTTTGGCAGTGATTGATCCTTTTCTCTTCTTGTGCTATCATACATCCTAAACAGTCTCTATCTTCTTTATTTCTTTCCTCTCTTCACTATATTCTTTTCTTTCTTGTTTTCTGTATATTTTTGTGTTTTGCACTTTGCTCAGCTGAGATTCCTCTTAGCCGGACAATTTGAGGGTTGCAAAAGATTCAGGAGTAATCTCTGAACAAAGTGTGTGTGTGTGTGTGTGTGTAGATTGAGGCTTGAAGAAAATGGAATGGGTTGGAGCTGGTCTGGTCCAGGAGGAGGGATCAAGCAGCCAAGGAGCGCAACACATGTTGCTCCAAAAAAACTCCCTCCCCCCAAAAAGGTAACTTGAATTTCTTGGATTTTTCTCTGAAAACATTTCAAATGAGGAATACAAAGTTTGAAAGAATGGTGACTGAGGTGACTCCATCCATCCCACTGCCCCCCTTCCCAGATTTCCAGTGAAAACATCCGGGCACCCGCTAAAGCCATTTTCACGGATGACCCACCAACCCTTCCATGGCAGGCTACACAATATTAACTGCATTGTCTTGAAGCTTCTTGCGTTGAGCTTCTGAAGATGGCCCAAGATCTGATTTTGTGAGAGTAGGAAGAGGCTAAAACTTCCTTTAACACTCAGGCCTTTGTCTCTGACTTGGGCTGCTTGTCTTTTCCTTGAATACCCTGATGTGTTAAGTTTTGAATGGTGGATGTGATTTGTTGCTTTTATAGTTTCAAAACTTGCCCAGTTCTTAAAAGTCTCAAGAGAGCTGACTGCATTTGTGATTTGATCTGCTCTGCATCATCTTCCCTCTTATCTGCCTTCTTAATCAGATGCCACAGATTGGGTTCGCTTGGATAGTGCGTCTGCTTTTGGGTGTTACCGTCTTTTGTTCTTTTTATTATTGCATTGGTGTGTGTGTGTGTGTGTGTGTTACTTGTGAACTGCCCAGAGTTGCTGGGAATTGGGCCATGTACACATTTAATAATCAATCGAATTCCAGATGTCATAAACAAATATTCACCGTATTTGCCTCTCTGCAATAACAGTGTGCAATTCAAACTAAGGACACGCTGGAAACCGTTTGTGCCTCCAGCAAAATCACAAGGATGCTAACCTGTTGACACAGGCACAATGATGTAACTTCGCAATGCCCCTGTAACGTTTTTCAACTTAAGTGTGTATTATAGCAAACAAATATTTTAAAAGTGGAGTAACACTACAGGCTCTTGCCCTTAGAACTATCCAGAAATGCCCCATTCCTGCTCAGTTTTGTTGAATTACAATTAGAAAGCCAATTCAGTTAAATTGGATTAAAATCAGTATGATGTTTAAAGGAACCTTTGCCCAGATGCAAAAATTTTCCCACTCTCAAATCATCCAGGTCATGGTTGTCATGAATTGAAGAAGCTTCTTGGACGAGAAGCAAAATGTTTTCAAAGAAAAAAGCAAGAAGAAGAAAGTCCAATTGCCTTTTGGAAAAAAAAAACCCACCTTGGCTGTAAGACGTGACCTAGTTTATACAGCACTCAGCCAATGTGATGGTTCAGTCATTGTGATTTGCAGGCCAGGATTTATGTACCAAGTTTAATTAATCTTAGATGATGATGATTATCTCTAGCTTAATATGTTGCGGGAACTGCCACTTTGTTCAATGTGCTATTTGGATTCAGAAAACGGGTCGGCTCAGTAGTGATAAATATATTGTGCGGAGTTACAAAGTAGGAGTTTTCACATATAAACCAGGAAAGTATGGTATTTTCAGCAAGCTGTGGTGTCACAAGCACACAACCAAGTCAATCTTAAAACAGGCAGAGTGTTCACAATCGCTCTCCTATAAACTCTGGCTCCCTCTTGTGCCTAGAGGCTGTAATTACTACCTAAAGTTTATATATTTATATATATGCAGGCAGGAAATAAGTCTTGGATATCGCATCCTATCTTCAAAGAAAAGCTCTGAATCCTGAATGCATCTGAAAGGATCAAGGGGCCCCAATCGAGAACCATCTTCCAATCCTGTTCTGGTTGGAGAGGCTGGAAGGCAATGAGGCCAACCCCGCCTTTTTTTGCACCCAAGGAAAAGGCCACCCCACTTTCCTGCCACACAATGATTCCTGTTGAGGACCTGCGGGAGCCTTGTTCACTGCCTACTCCGCAGTGTAACTGGACCAAGCCAGGATTTGCAGCAGCTTTTTCACAAGGGGGCTTCAGATCCATGTAACGTGGTCTAAGGTGGGCATCGTGCTACCTTCCCTCCCTCTCTGTCTCTTGTGTGTGTGTCTCTCTCTCTCTCTTTTCCCCCCCTTTCTCTGTCTCTCCCTCCCTCCCTTTTAGATACTTTGGGCCTGGATGATTGAGTCTGAAAAGCAACCAATTAGAAAAGGCTGGGTTGCCTCATTCCGCAATACGCTGCTTGCTCCGTCTTCCGTCAACACCCTCAGCAGCCTTACCAATGTCCATAAAGTAATGACACCTAAGAGTGTGCAGCTGAACCTTTTCTGCTGCATGACTTCGGTAAGGGACACCTCAGTGAAGTGAGTAACGTAAATTGGCCCCTGCTGTACCCGTGGCCAGTCACACACATTGCAGAGTGTGGTTCCTGTTTTGCTGAATGACACTTGCGTGAAAGCAGAGGAATTTAGCTGGAGATATTATTCCAGTGTGTCCTTTTCTTCCCTCCTCAGCAGCATCCAAGAAATCCATGAAACGATATAGGCTCTCCTGCCTGGCCAGGGGGTTGGACTAGAAGACCTCCAAGGTACCTCCCAGCTCTGTTATTCTATTGTCATTGCTTTGGGCGATGGGACTTGTTCCTGACATGAGTCATGGCTTGTTTTCTCCCTGCGTGCTGCACACACTCAAGAGACAGACGATCTCCCACTGCTGCAAAGTGCAGCCTTCACTGTGACTGGTTTCACAGCCACATGACTGCTGTTCCTTGTGTCCCTTCGAAGAGGAGAACCACGAAGTTGCGACTTTCCCCTCGTAATCCCAAAGGCCGGCCGGTGGGAAGCATTTCAGCTTTCACGTCAAGGTCTTGCCACCAACACCAGGTCTCCCGGGTCGACATTCCCCAATCACTATAACCGATTTCAAATGGTGCTAGAAAGAAGAATAGACTCCGAACACCAGAAGAAATCAGTTATCCTTTAAAGGGGTCACTGGAATCTGCGAGTCCATGAATTTGCAACGCGTGGCTACCGAGAACCTCTGAAGTCTTTTGGGTTAGAACCACCCTCACTTCCATATTTATAAACCCCAACTAAGAAATGGGATATGAATTATACCAACAGAACAAACCCTGCTCTCGTTCGGGATTTCAGCTGTTGGCATTATATACCGTTAGGCCTCGGGTTGCCATCTTTCTCCAATTTGGGGTCTTCCCAAAAGATACATGGGAATACAAATCCAACAAACCTCCAGCCAGCTGCACCAACACACCCTGGGGATTGGGGAAGAATCCTCTGGAACGTCAAGCCCTAAATATTTGACTTCAAATTTGTTTTAAATGGTGACAATGTGGCCCAGAAACCGTTCTGGGAAGAGAGGTTTTCTGCTGAGTCAGCTTATTAAGACCTTCTTGCAATCAGCTCTGACTCTCTCCTATTTGCGATCAATCTGTCGATGACATTCTCACAGTATGCGTAAACACACGAACTTCCAAGGCCTAGTATCTTCCTGACTTGCCTAAGAAGGCAGGTATATTTCTGTAAGGGGTTCATTTCAATTGTCCAACCTGGCTTAATAATTAAGTCAGTTTCGCTGCCGAGGCTGTACGGGAAGAGGCAATAAATCCAACGTAAATGAGCTGGTCGCGGAAGCTTTTATCGGAAGCCTATGGACTCCCAAGACCGGTCAACGTGCAGCCATTCTTCCCCCAAAAACACTGATTTCAAATGGTGCTAGACATTGTGTACTTAAATCTAAACCACCATATGAAACCAGATTCCTGAAGGAGCTCCAGGCAAGACTTCCTTGTAGCTGGACATGTCGAAGGCAGATACTCAGGCATGGGGGCTCTATTTCCTTTTCGTTTCGATGAAGCTGGGACGGCAAAGACTCCTGAAGAGAAAGCCTTTTTTTTCCCCCTCCCCGCGTCATCCTCTTGAAAAAGCCAAAATATAGTTCGGAGCTTGCTGTGGGAAATATTTAACCGCTCTCAGGATGAAGGAAGCTGAAAGAATAAAAACAAAGCTGAGTCCACGTGGAAGAAAAAGAAGTTGAACGCACCTCTTTTCCGTTCTCAAAACGTTATCTTAAGCCTATCTAAATTCACAAATGTGCCACAAGGGTCAAAGTAAAGGAGTCCCCGGGGATTTTACTCCGCTAGTCGTTGCTGACTACAAATAGTCCTCGATTTACAATAGTTTATTTAGCGACTGTTCGAAGTTGCAACGACCACTGAAAAAAGTAAGTGAGGACCGTTTTTTCACACAACTATTGCAGTATCTCCATGGCAACGTGATCAACATTCAGACACTTGGCAACTGACTCATATTTATGACGGTTGCAGTGTTTCCTGGGATCATGTGATCCTCTTTTGTGACCTTCTGAGAAGCAAAGTTCAAGGGGGGAGCCAGATTCATTTAACAACTGTCTTACTAGCTTAACAACTGCAGTGATTCACTTAGCAACTGTGGCATGAAAGGATGTAAAATGGGGCAAAACTCACTTTAACCACTGTCTCACTTAGCAACAGAGATTTTGGGCTGAATTATGTTTGTAATCCGACAACTACCTCTACAGGGGGCAGTGCTCACCTCTGTTTCAAGGGCCAATGAGCCAGCACTGTCTGAAGACAATTTCAGTGGTCCTGTGGCCAAGCATGGCCTATAGGCCAAAGGTGCACAGAACGCTGTTGTCTTCCACCAAAGTGGTACCTATTTATCTACTTGCATTTGCATGCATTCGAACCGCTAGGTGGGCAGGCGTTGAGGCAAAGAACAGGAGCTCAACCCAGTCCAGGAGGCACCATGGGGTTTGCTGATGCTTCTTTCTCTCAAGTTTCTCCTCCAGATGACCCTCCAAAAATGTAAATGAGGTCTTCTTCCCACTTGTAAACACAAGTTTCCTGCTCTTGTTGTAGAGGCCAACTGGCCCAGACTTGAAGATGAAGGTATTTCCCCAGCGAATGATAAACAGATCAACTTGAAACCAGAGCGTACGTTGAGAGGAGCCTCAAGGGCAAGTCCACACGACCCACTAGTATAAAAAAGGGTAAAGCTCTTTTGGGTGATGCTCAACTCCTGATGACTTCTCCACATGGCTCCCTTTGCAACAGCACGGAACTGGCACCAACTCCCTCCAGGATGTAAGTCTGAGTTTTAGGGTCAGGGGATGTCATCAGTGGCTGAATAGTAATACGGAAGATTTTCTGCTCTGCATTCTGTAATCAAAAGGTTCATTCTTGACCAAGGCTAAAAGGCTTTAAGCTTTAAAGGATCTAAATGTGACATCCGTCTAATAATAGTGCAGGCTACAGCACTAGTTGTTATGTGAGGGAGGGGAGGATAAATCCTTTAGATGCTGCCTTTCCCTCCATCTCTTATCTTGAAATATTGTTTTCTTTTTCATTTCTTCTCTTGCCACCTGTAAAGAATATAAAAAAAAACATTCAGATTTTATTTCGCTGCTGAAAAAATTCTTTCTTCCCTAGGGAAGGATATTTCTTTGACTAAAAATTCTAAATTAGAAACCATTCCTAACAGCAGTTAATGGACATCAACAGCAAAGCAGTGGGACTCTGAGACCGTTCACAAAAGACACTGACTGGCGAATTCTTCAAGACATTTTTCTTACAGGAGGTAACATTTCCTTATGAAATGTTTAAAAAGATACCAAGATCACTCTTTTCCTTCCCCTTCTTCCTCCTGGTTGATACATAGAAAAATGTGGCTTTTAAATTAAATATAAAAATTAAAATTTTAATTAAAATTAACCCAAATTAAAAGAAAATATTTACAGACTTGCTCTGCTCCAACCTTCAACCATTACTGCCCGTTATACTCTGGTGTGGATCTTTCTCTACTCCACTGCATCTATTTAGGCATCGACTGCACCATACAAAGATGGAAGGAGCTGCAGGTTATTTAGTCCAACTCCAGAAATTCAAAGTCAGGGCATCTACGGTGCCTTTCTCACGTCTGCTTGAAAGCCTTTGAATGAAGAGAAAGAGAAATCCTTGTTCCCTTCCGGGATCCATCCATCTATCTTTCTGCCGCCTTTTAATTTAACTCATCCCGCTTTTTTTAAATTTATCTTTTATAACAAGCTCCTGAATCACAAGGCAGCATCACGTTTAACACCAAATCATGGCCCTCACCTCGGTTTCTCATCCTCTTGAGTTCTCAGAGTCCAATTTAAATGTTGTCCCAGCAGGGGGCAGCAGCTACCCAAATTTGACGGAGTCTCGGATGAGAAGAGAAGCAGGTTTTGGGGAAGGGTGGGGAGGGGGAGGAAGAGAGAAACCCCCCCCCCCAAGAAAGTCCAATTGCCTTTTGAAGAAAAAAATACTGGATGATTGAGAATCTCCACAGACATTGTGAGGGGTGGGACCTGAATGGCGTCAGCCTGGGGAGAATCCCACCCAGACCTTCTAGTACTGTAGAGGAGACCGTCTCTAATCAAGTCGCTAGGAATCGAGCTTGCGGGTTCCTTCTTCAGTGACTCAGTTCACACAATAATTAATTATTCACTTGAAGATCTGGAGGTTGTGATATGGTGGCCTCCATATATAAATCTAGTGGACAGCCAGTTTGGTCTGGCGGTGAAGGCACCAAGCTAGAAACCAGGAGACGGTACCGTAGGCCATGAAAGCCAGGCGGGTGACTTTGCGCCAATCACCAGGAGACGGTGAGTTCTAGTTCTGCCTTATGCATGAAAGCTACCCAGGTGACTTTGGTCCAGTCCCTCTCTCTTAGCCCAACTCACCTCACAGGGTTGTTGTGGGGAAAACAGGAGGAAGAGGGTGTGTTAGATGTGTTTGCTGTCTTAAGTTATTATTTATTAATATTAGGGGGAAAATCCCATGTTCTGGAAAGCAAAACTCACCTCATCTTTGTAATCATCATCTTTTGGTTCAAGACATCCTCCTGAGAAGAGCTACACCTGAAATTAGAAAGCAACTTTGTTATTATTCAAAATATGCCAGGAAAAATCCCCTGCAATCATTACTTGCCATTCCCTACTTAGACCAAAGAAAATTTGGAGACCTTGAAAAAACAGAATTAAGCTTCCTCTCTCCCCGACAGTTTTGTGCTGCTGTACCGCTGTCCATAAAGTTACCTGAAACAACATTCCTATTGAGCGCTAGAAGAAACTTCTAATGTTTTAACAATAGAAACCAATGACCCAGAGCAATGTTTTTCAACCTTGGCAACTTTAGGAGGTGTGGACTTCAACACCCAGAATTCCTCAGCCAGAAGTCCACAAATTCTGAAGAACGCCAAGGTTGGAAAACAATGACCCACAGAAGTAAGTGGGCACCATTGTGCCCTGTGCACATACTGAAGCAGAAGCCCAAAGTCAGGTTGAAATTGGAGAAGCTTCGATTTGGACAGCAGCACTAAGCAGCGGGTTGGCCTCTCCCTTCTCTAGAATTCGACTCATCAATGGTACAACGGAGATTGCAGAACGATTTTCTTGGTACAGGAATCCTGGCTCAGAGCTTGGGTTGCAACTGAACCACAAAACCCCTTCTGCAAAATCCAGTTTGCACAGTGGCTAGCATTCCCAGTAAATCTCGACCATGGTTGGGACAGCAACGGCTAAAATACATTGAAAAGTGGAACCCAGAGCCTTTTTCACAAAATGACTGAAGAATTTCTACCCTTCTCTCACGGGCCCTTAATTTATTCCTAAAGCAAACAAAACAACCCACTCTGAAACTGGGGTAGCCTGTTCATTTATCTCGGTTTGTTAATTTCCTGATTTGGGATCTGACAAGAATAATTATTTTGAATGATAAACGATAACGCAAGCAGCGGGGACGTTTGGCCTGGGTCCCCCCTCTCTCCGTTCCAGAAAACCATCTCAACTGGATTCTCTCACTGGCATCCTTCGAGTGGCAAAAGCCATGGCCTTCTCATTTTAAATAAAGTGCCTTTATTTAAAAAAAAAACGTATGCAAAGAATGACCCTATATAGTCTGACACAGGGTTGGTCCAACTTTGGACACTTTAAGACTTGTGGACTTCAACTCCCAGAATCCCCCAGCCAGCATGAGGTCAAAGTGTCTTATTCATATGCTATGTATGGCTTTTATGACCAGGACAATCCTGCGAGAAAAGTGAACCTTGTGAAATGTTGACACTTTGGAAAGAGGGCAGAGAAGAGCAACAAGAATGATTAGGGGCTGGAGGATAAAATGTATGAGGAACGCTTGCAATAACTGGATATGGCCAGTCTAGAGAAAAGAAGGACCAGGGGAGACATGATAGCAGTCTTCCAATATTTGAGGGCCTCCTACAAAGATGAGGGGGGTCAAACTATTCTCCAAAGCACCTGAAGGCCAGAGAAGGAACAATGGATGGAAACTGAACAAGGAGAGAACCTACCTAGAACTAAGGAGAAATCACCTAACAGTGAGAGCAATTAACTAAGGGAACAGCTTGCCTTCAGAAGTTGTGGGTACTCCATCAATGAAGGCTTTCAAGAAGAAACTGGACTGCCATTTGTCAGAAATGGTGTGTAGGCTCTCCTGCTTGTGCACGGGGTTGGACTAGAAGACCTCCATGGTCCCTTCCAACTCTATTATTCTATGTTCTAAATTGGGGTTACAGATAGAGGGAGGACACACAACCCCCCAGTTTTCCCACCGTTGAGCTATTTTAACTTCCACTCTAATCTGAAATAATCCCTGCACGTTGCCAACCCAAAACCACTGAGGTGGATTCAATGAATTCTCTGCCTGGCTCTTTAGTTTCCCCCACTCCAAATGTCCATCATGAAAAGGAAAGAGGAACTCATGACTGGCCGTTCACACCCAACAAGTTCTAGAGAAGTTGACTTTTTTGTAGTATTACCCTGTAAAAGAATTTATGAAACGCTTTGGAGTTTGAACAAAGGAACGACGGAAAGCAGGCCTTTGGCCTTTTTCTCAGAAAACAGCCCTGTACATACCGTACGAAGCTAGTAACTTCTGGAATGTGGTTGATTTCCGTCATCTCATTTAATGAATCAGACTCACGTTAGCTTTTTCCTTACCCTCCTCATATTTTTTGCAAGCCTTCTGGTGAACTGGCATAAAAGAGAAGAAGTGGGGAGGGAACGGAATTGTGGGGAAAACATTTCTGGGGTTCTTTTTAATGCATTTGTTTTGGGACTTTGGCAGAAAATTGCTGAAAGAAGAAACTACTCTGCTAGCAATGTCTAATTCAGACGTTTCAAGTAAGGGAGCAAACTCGAAGGAGCTTATTGGGAAACGCAAGAACTGTGCACGGACAGTTACCCATTCAAATCCAGAATCAATTCAGAAGGGAATCCAACCAAACAAATCAAAATCTACCCGTACAATCCTTGCCAGGAACCAAAAGAATATTTTAAGTATGTCCAATGGGATGTTTGAGGGTTTCTCCTTCCCTTAAACATCAAAGGATCATGCTCTAAATCAGTGGTCTCCAATCGGTGGGCCGGGGACCACTGTGGTGGTCCGTGAGAAAATTTTGGTGCTCCGCGGAGAAATGTCTCCCCAAAGCAATTAATGCAGGCTGCGCGGGAACACAAGGCTGCGCCACCCACATGGCCCGCCCATCTGCTGGTCCCACCCCTTCGGCTGAGCGCAAACCTTACATTGAGTAGACCCACACGAGCTGGAATTGGAAGGTAAGACCAACGGCGAGGAAGGGAAATCCTCCCCAGGGTGGCTTGCTGACATTGGTGGGAAAGTCAGTCCCATATTCCAGAGCTGCAGTAGTCACAGGACTGGCCCTTGGGTCATCCTGGAGCAGCTTCTCCACTCCATGGAAGGCCGGTGCACCCAGGTGGAGGAGTAGCTGCTCCGGGATGACCCAAGGGCCAGTCCTGTGATTACTGCAGCTCTGGAATACGGGACTGACTTTCCCACCAACGTCAGCAAGGTACCGTCAGTCAAAATTCATATTAGTGGTCTTAAAATTATGAGTTTGGTGGTCCCTGAGGTCCAAAAGGTTGGCAACCCCTGCTCTAACTAACAGTGTGTAAACTTATAGGTATTTCTATATTTCTCTGGCAAATTGTGGTATTTATTCACAGGTTCAAAGGACTTCTTGGTAATCTGGTACAAAGAGTTAATTACAAAAAGGGCCAAAGTCCTTGACACCTTTCCTCTTATATTATACAAGTCTGCATAAGATCCATAGGTTGCATTGTATGTAGAATGCAAGATGTGTACAACTATACATTTCCACCACTAACGACAATGCATGTTTATTATAAAACATTATAAAGAATGATATCCCAATGTGAATACATGCAGTCCGTCTAATAAAGGCTGCTGGTTAAATGTGTTATGTGGCAAGAGTTTCATAATTTAAGATTTAGCCTAGTTTTAGGATATGAAAATACTATGGAAAAGTCAATTCATTGTCCAAACAACTTCCCAGATTAGAGCTAGGATGAAACAAGAATACAATTTCAAGTGATCTCAATCCAGCTTTGCCCCAGCTACTGCCGTCTTCAGAAGACAATACTCAGAACACCTAAGTCCCTGGCAAAGCTGCTCAGGAGGATAGATATGCACCCACGATTAAATCCAAACAATTCTAGATGACTAAGTGTTTGGTCTCTCTATTTTACCATATTGTAACCATCTGTATTCCCCCCCCCCCCGTAAAATACATTAAATTCTGGAATTCTCTCATGCTGAATGTGTTGTTTACTTATAATGTATCTTCCTTGTTCTCACCTTTTTAAAAACATACATCAGTGAAATCAAGGAAATTATTTGTAAGGATCTAACTCTGCATGGTAGAAAAGTAAGCAAATTATAGAGAGAAAATAAATATAGAGAAATTCTCACCTTTCCAAAAGGTATGTGTGGAAGTCATGTAAGACCCTATACATGGGGCATAATATATACCATAATATATTATTAGCATCTCTCTGCTCTGGCCATTTAAGGGAAGGTGGAGTATATATACTATTCTACCATAATAGATATTTCAAACTGACAAAGGATAGGCAAATAGGGGTTTTTTTGGATGGCGGGGGGATTCAGAAAGTTTATAGATTTGCAGTTAAATTTTCCAGTCCCTTCTCAAAACAGAATGGGTTTTTTTTGGCTTTGTAGATAGTTCTTTAAGGCTGTTTAAACTGAGGAACGATACACCAAAGAAATAAACACAGATAATCAAATAGTGTTCATGAAAAATGAGCAGAGAAAGTTCGCGTGCATGCCTAGAGACGGAGAAATCTGGTGATTTTTCACACGAACCTATCTCATTTTTGCATTTTTGAATCAAAACTTTCTTCAACAGGTAGAGAATTTTGCAATGATGTTTGGGAATAATAATAATAATCATCATCATCATCATCATCCAAGAAAGAGTGGTACAAAAAAAATAGTCAGAAAAATTGTTTGCAAAAGAACGGGTGTACGTTAAAATATATATATACTTTTTTTGTCAGCTTGTTGTACAAATGCAAACTGGTAGGATTATAGTTCAATGCACTGCGAGCACGAAGAACATGGTTTAATTTCAAAATCTAGCAGAGGACTAGTGTGTGTGAACCCAACCACAATGGTCCCGCAAGTCAACCAGATGCCTTGTAGCATCCATCACCAAGAATTGGAGCCCACTTCTCACCAACAGACCTACCAGCTTCCAATCCAACCAATGACACAATTTGGCAACGCGCGAAGGAAAGGCCCATTAAAATCACCCAAATTCGCTGAAACCCCCACGAACAAAAGGGGTTCTCTTTCCCCATTTCTTCTGGCAAGAAAAGGCATTTCCTGGCACCCTGATCCGGGTCCAGCATTGCTCTTTGATGCAGAACTATAAGCCCACAGACCCTTTATAGATGTACAAAAAAAGAAACACCAAACCAACAACCCCCAAGGACAGCATTTCTGATCAATGGCTGCAAAGGACTTGACAGCAGAGGTTTTGGGACCCGTCATTATTTCTAAGAGCCGCATAATTAGCAGCCCCGGAGTTTTGAAAAGCTTGGAAGTCGTGCACCGCAATGTTCTTGAGAAAGAGAACATGGGCCAGCTTTTGCTAATTGGACTGATTGTCTAACCGGTGCCAACCGCATTCAGGGCAACAGGACCCAGCTGCTAGGCATGGCAACTCACACACCTCCCAGAGAGAGAGAGAGAGAGAGGCCAGCCTCCCCGGGGGCAAGTGTGTGGACTTTGGGTTTGGGCATGTGCAAACAGAAGCACAAAAAAGCCACGCACGGGGGTGGGGGGAAGAGAGGGGAAATCTGAGAAGGGCTGCTCTTTCTTAAAAACAAACGTTAAGCTTCTAGTCCTTAAGCTTAGAGGAAGGAAACCAGTTGTTCAGGAGAAGCAGCAGAGCGATAAATGAGCTGCCTTCTGCTTCGGCGCGTAATTAACAACAAAAGTTTTAAAGTGCTCGAAATAAAAATTCAACCTGTTGAAAAAGTAAAATCTTGTATATATTTTGAGACGGAGATGGTCTAACCATTCTCTAGGAAGAGCCAAATTTGAATTCACACAATAACCGTGTTGCTTGTATCTTTACAATTGATATTGTTTTATTTGTTTCCTAGTATGATTTGATTGCTTATTAGTAACCTATGACTACCACCAAGTGTTGTATCTTATGATTCTTGATGAATGTATTTTTTATGTACATTGAGAGCATTTGCACCAAAGACAAATTCCTTGTGTGTCTGATCACACTTGGCCAATAAAGAATTCTATTCTATTCTATTCTATTCTATTCTATTCTGTTCTGTTCTGTTCTGTTCTGTTCTGTTCTGTTCTATTCTATTCTATTCTATTCTATATACGACTTAAGCCTTACGCCGGTTAAGTAAATGTTGTGTTCACACAAGCCATCCTTCACACTATAAACCATTGGATGGCTAACATGAAGGTTCGATATAAAATAACATTGTACGGCAGTGGCTGGATTCTCACAAAATGCTAAAACATATAAAGTATCCAACATTTTAGCTTAGTCGAGTACGTAAATAAGAATCTAACCAGGGTTTCCCACCCTGCAAAAAAATAAAATAAAATAAAAAGGAATATGCCCTGAGTAAAGAAATACTTTAACACATCTTTGAGAGTTCTATATATTCCTTATCAAAACAGTGTTTAAATGCCTAAATGAAACTGAATTTACAGGAGATGTAAATGTGTAGGAGAATTATAGTTATTCAGTTTTGGTCGCCACGATGTAAAAAAGATGTTGAGACTCTAGAAAGAGTGCAGAGAAGAGCAACAAAGATGATTAGGGGACTGGAGGCTAAAACATAGTAGGAAAGGAACTGGATATGTCAGTCTAATGAAAAGAAGGACTAGGGGAGACATGAGAGCAGTGCTCCAATATCTCAGGGGCTGCCCCAAAGAAGAGGGGGTGAAGCTATTCTCCAAAGCCCCTGAGGGCAGGATAAGAAGCCACGGGTGGAAACTAATCAAAGAGAGAAGCAACTCAGAACTAAGGAGAAATTCCCTGACAGTGAGAACAATTAATCAGAGGAACAACTTGCCTCCAGAAGTTGTGAATGCTCCAATACTAGAAGTTTTTAAAAAGATGTTGGATAACCATTTGTCTGAAGTGGTGTAGGGCTTCCTGCCTAAGGCAGGGGTTGGACTAGAAGACCTCCAAGGTCCCTTCCAACTATTCTATTCTATTCTATTCTATTCCTATTTCTATTTCTATTCTATGTAACTTTTCCTCCATTCCTCTCCTGAGAAACTTCTACTCATGAGAATCTAGCCAACACACTGGAGGAATCTCTCTTCTAAAACTCCCTTCGCTGTCGTGCTAAGTTTGTACCTGTAGAGAATCAGGCACGTACGTTTCTTCCCGCCTGTAAAGTAATCCTAGCCTAAGCCACATTTGGATACAATGCTTCACCTTAAACTGTGATTCGGCACTGCAGCAATTCTAAATGCCCCCCATGTGTTCCTCTCTTGTCCCCAGTGCAGCTTTGAAGACGACAAAGGCAGCTTTCACTTCCGCTTTTGGTAAGAATAGCAGAAAGAAAGAGCATATTATTAAAACGCTTTTAAAAAAAAAACCCAAAACCAGGAAGCAAGAAATACTCTGTGAAAAGAAGAACGAAGGGTCTTTTTGAAGCAAGGCAAAGCCTGTTTAGTCTGGACTTCTGTGTTCAACAGTGGACTTCTAAGAGTCCACCATCTTGAATGTGAGTCTTCTGGTTCTTGCGAACGTGGTTCATGCACAGAGTTACCCTGACTTATAGCGGCTGACAGAGAGACTCCTCAAGATTATTCTCATTCTTTTCCAATGGGCTTCACCAACACCGAAAGCTAAGCCAGTTTGTGGCTTTGAGGAATCGGAATAGTTACCGATTATTCACCCACCCGGTAGTAAAAACAGCAAATAGTTTTAAACAGGCCGAAAACTGTCAGGGCCTTTGATTGATTGCAGCTATTTCAGTTTGGCTAATATTTGTGTTCCTAAAATAACTTAATAATCTGGATTCGCACGATAAACTGAAACAAGCCACAGAGGTGGATCTCCATCAGTAGCTGGAGCATAAACTTAGATAATTCATCATATTAAAGTTTATCCTGAATGCCATATTGATAGTATGACTGCACTGTATCTATTTATGCCAGACTTTCTCAAGCTTTACAACTTTTAAGATGGGTGGACTTCAACACCCAGAATTCTGCAGCCAACTTAGTTGGGTGGGGAATTCTGGGAGTTGGAAGTTCACCCGTTTTAAGTTGCAGCACCTGAGAAAACACTGATCTATGTAATATCCTTCTTCGGAAAATAATACTTTTTAAAAAAATAATGCCCCGAATAGTAAAAATGTAATTTTAGGCCACATGAACCAGACGTAAGTTCTCAGAGTCAATGGTAGTGGTTTACAACCTGTGCACTCTCACCCTGGCTGAATGTATTGTGTGGGTGTGAATGCCACACTAGATTCAGAGAAACCACAACTCAGTCAGAGAAAGGCAATGAGATGGATGAAGAGAGAACTAAAGAAATCAGCTTGTTCGATCTTAAGACTGACAGGCCATAGGAAAGATCTAGCACTTGCAAGGAGGTTGTGCCAAACGTTGGCTTCACACCTGGTCCCTCTCCTTCCAGCAGGCCTCAATATGATGGATTTAAATTATTGGAAGGCACACTCCAATGGAATGTCAGGGAAAACTCGGTAATAATGCCATATGAGCAGTTGGCAAGGAAACCAATAAGTAAGTCATAAGTCATTTTTTTTTTCAGGGCCATTGTAACTTGGAGCAGTTGCTAAATGAATGGTTGTAAGTCAAGGACTGCCTGTATTCCAGGTCTTCAAACTTGTCAAGTTTAACACTTGGGGACTTCAACTCCCAGAATTCCTGAGCTAACATGACTGGAGGAGGAATTCTGGGAGTTGAAGTCCACAAGTCTTAAAGCTGTCGAAAGTGTGAAGGCCCCTGCTGTGTTCTATTTCATATGGAACCCAGAACATTCTGAAGGTTTGCCCAAGGACTCTGAAGACAAGGGAAGTGCTACTGATGAGTGTCCACAAATCTCCCAAGAGGCTTGCCAAAATTTGAGTAATAGTAGTTTTGCTCCCAATATTTCCGTCTGGAAGTATCTGGAAAGTTTTAAGACCTCAAAATTCTGGATGATTTCCCCACTCGAATTTTTAAAGATCGTCCAAGTATTGTCATGGTACCACCTAACCATTTCCAGGTTTATTCAAACGTTTATTTGTATATATTTCTGCGACTGGGGAAATTTTATGGAACTCAGATATCAATCTCTGCACAAAGAAGATTAGATAGCCTTATATCTACCCTAAAAATTGTTCTGCCTCGGACTCTGTTGATTGCGCTGAGGCTGTAATTCTGTCCAAAAGTCTTCCATCAAAGTCTCAGCGATGCAGAAGCTCCCATGACAAGCAATCTGGTTGCCCCAAGTCTTTTTTTAATGCAATTTTCCCACTGCAAAGGTTTAAGACTTGCTCACGAATAGCGTAATATTTGGCAATACCCAGAGCTCTGAGGAAAACACTGCTTAAAGGGGGATCTGGATCGATGCTTTCAGGAACCCCTTTTAAATCATGAAACCAGTAGCATGATTCTCTAGAACAGGGGCGCGTAGATCTGACCCGCGGGGCCACCCTGAAAACAGCAAAGGACCAGCCCGCGGTGCCTCTGCCAGGGAAAATGGACTCTGGGATGCGTTTTCACTGGCGGAGGGCTAGAAAACAAACTAAAAGCAAAACAAAACAAAAGGAAAAATGTTTCCTGTTTTGCATTTGAGCATCCCAGAAGGGACAGGAAAGGAGGAAAGGGAAAGAGGAAAGGGAAAGAAAAAGAAGGAAAGATGGAAAAAGAGGAAGGAAGGAAAGATAAGGAAAGAGGGGAAGGAAGAAGAAAGGAGAAAGGAGAGGGAAGAAAAAGAAGGAAGGAAGGAAGGAAGGAAGGAAGGAAGGAAGGAAGGAAGGAAGGGAGATAGGAGCATTAGGTTAACTTCAGTTCCTAGAGAAAAGATGCTCTATAACTCCAACCAACCAACCAACCAGAAAATCCTGCAAAAGTCAGACAGAATGTCACTGATTGAACAGATAATACAGTAGAATATTGATCTGACAGCCTTCACTTCCCACCTCTACAAAAATATTTCTACGTGTATATTTATTTTATACAAGACAGTCAACTAGTTTGTCAAGAAGAAAGATTTTAATCATACCCCTGTTAACTGTGCTGTTCTGCCTGCAGGATACTTCTTTCTGAATATCCTTTGTGGAATACGAATATATGTATGTATGTATGTATGTATGTATGTATGTATGTATGTATTTATGTGGATCTTTGGTTATTCGGGTCTTCCAATCTTATGCGGGAGAAAACCCGAATAACCAAAAATCCACATACAAATACCCGCAAGAACCTCATTCAGCTTTGTTCGGGTATTTGTTCGGGAATACCATACATTTAAGTACCCACGAAAACTTAAGACAACATGTGTGTGTGTGTGTGTGTGTGTGTGTGTGTGTGTATGTATGTATATATACACATACACATACACATACACACACACACACACACACACATATGAACACTATACAGAAGCCTGATGATGGCAGATGAGATTCTGCCGAAACGTTGCTACAACTTTAAAAGCACAACTATAATGACGTGGGAAAATACCCGAACAAAGCTGAATGCCATACATGTAAGTACCCACGAAAACTTGAGAATATATATATATATATATGGAAACCCCTGTTTCCATTAAGCATGTAAATGATGTTCGCTTTTCTACAACCACATTTCTACCTTGGTTTCCCTCAGTCAGTGCTGCTTGTGGGATACACAATTTAAAAGTCACAACAATCAGGCAAAATACTATGGTCAGAATGATGGAGGAAAATACAATTTCAGTTTTGCTGAGAAAGCAGTGTATCTTCTAGACCAGGAGTGGACAACTATGGCAATTTTAAGATCTCTGGACTTCAATTCCCAGAATTCCTGAGCTGGCATTGGCAGGTTCAGGAATTCTGGGAGTTGAAGCTCCGAGGCTGTAAAATTGCCCTTGGCCTAGACAGCTATGGGGCACACCATTAAAACATGTGCCTGAGATATGGATGTATCACAGAAAAAAACCACAAATGGAAAGGATACTTCATATCTTTGCTTTTTACAGTATTTTAAAGCAAGCAATGTATTTATATCAGGCTAGAAAACATGAAATATGCAGGACATGCCAGAACACACTTGATTATTTTTTTCTGACTCAGAACAGCTTTCTTACACCTGCCTGGAAGAAGGAAAAAAAGGTTTACCTTGTGACACAACAATCCACTACAGGCATAAGAGTGTCCCCTTCTCTTGATGATCCTTCGGTTCCTTCATACTCCCTATTTTATTTTATATTCAATGGAAAAGCTACAGGGTATGCAGAGAGCCAGATTAAAAGCACAAAATTATTTCAAGCGTGCATACATGTAGCAGCTATTAGGATCCCTTTAGATTAGAAGAATGGGTTCACAATTGCTCTCCATCGCTAGGCATGCAATCCAAAATAAAAATGAGCTTTGTCCAAGGAGCTCATGAAAAAAGTTACATCCATGCCTGTACGCATGCATGTAAATCACACGTTTGTTTATTGTATGGACACCCATCTTAAAGGTGGTATGCAGCAGGTTCTGGCCAGTTCTGGAGAACCAGTCGCGGAAATTTTGAGTAGTTCGGAGAACCGGCCAATCCCACCTCTGACTGGCCCCTCCAACCCCATCTCTTCTCTGCCTCCCATTGAGTCCCAGCTGATCGGCTGGGTCTCCTTTGGGTGCCCTGCCCAGGAGAACGGAGCTGGAAAGCAGGTTAGTGGGGTGGGGAGGGAATGGAGATTTTACAGTATCCTTCCCCTGCCACGCCTACCAAGCCACACCCACCAAGCCATGCCCACCAAGCCAAGCCCACAGAACCAGTAGTAAAAAAAATTGAATCCCACCACTGCTCTGGGCAATTCAGAACAACAAAGAGTAACTACAAAACCACAACCCATGAAAGCAAAAAGCAAAACTGAAACCTGGTGCCTCAATCATCCCTTAGGGAAGTCCTGCTATCAGCTCCAGATATTCCCATTCTATCCCACCACCTGGGGGAGAAATGAGGTCTTTATGGCTTTCCATACGGCTAAAAGGGTGGGGGCCTGGTAAGTCACTGGGGGGTGGGGATACGCAGGTATTCCAAACATGGTGGTAGGGGAAGCCGTGGAAAAGGCCTATTTCTGAAATCCCACTTGATGGCAAGATTTCAGGGAAGGGATTTGCAGCGTGCTCAGCTGTCAGGCACTGGGAACCAGAACGCCACGCTTGAGCTGATCAAAAGTTACCTCTTTATTGCTATTTAGTGCCTATTTACAAGAATCTTGCCGGACTTTAAACTACATTCTCTCAGGAACAGCCAGATAAGGGGGATTCTAGGGGAGGTAAAGCCTGCATCACTTCTCACTGTGCAAGGACTCTAAGCTTGCCCCTCTCTTCACACCTCCCACCCTTCTAGCTGGAGATTCCACTCACTATCTGGTCGGATCTAGTACGGCAGGCACGTCTTTCAGGGAGTGGCGGCCCTGCAAATTTTGCCTTTCAAACCTGGCTCCCTAGCCCTGGGAAATAAAACATGGGAGGCATCACTTCCAAATGCTGGGGGGGGGGGTAGAGGGAGGGGCAAAGGCAAGACACGGAAGCCTTCTTAAATAGTTGGGACTAGCGGGCATAGGGGCCTGAGGGTAGAATCAGAAGCCCCCCCCCCAATTCTCATTCCAGTAAATGGGTTTTGGGGGACCAGAATCATCCACAATGGCACCCGTTGGATTAATAGGCAAACCTCCTTATGGCAGCCATTTTGTGAGAGATGCCGCAAAGCGCCTCTTTTTTCGAACGCGAGCCACAGGGCTTCCAAAAGTAGCTCAAAGACCACACGCCGCTCCCCCGGATATGCGGAAAGCCCGCAAAGAACACGCCACCGGTGTCCCTCTGATAGCTGAGACGTATTTAATAAGTCTAGCGTGATCCCCTCCCATTGCGCAACCCGTGGCATTTGCTCCCATTCCTTCCCTTTGAAACACCTGCCTCTACAGGTCGTATAAAGATTAGAAGGAACACAGAGTTCGCAAAGTTATTTCCTTTCCCTAATCTGCAGCAACCTTTTTGTATCTGGAATGAAGGGAGGGGCTGCATTTTCCCCCTCTTTACGTAAGAGTCAGAACACTGCATGTTTTAAAAGAAAAAGAAAAGCATTTCGCGATGCAGGATGCAGTGATGGCCCTTTGCTCACTTTCAAAAGGATACACTTACCAATAAACTTTCTGTCCTAGCTTAATAGAGCATCCTTTTGTAGAGTCAATATGACCAGGAAGTTAAAAAAGCACTTTGTGCTTCTAGAAACAACAGCTTAAGCCCTATTGGGAAACTAATATTAGATTAGATGCTGATCTAAACAAACAAAACGAATCTTACATAATCCAGTGACTGTCCAATGAAGTTCATTGTGATTTTCCCCCACCCACCTCCAAGGATCTCTGGCAGGACACATAATCTCAATGTTATTTCACCAATGCAACAATCCTGTTAAGTAGCTGCGGCTGAGAAAAAGTGACTTGCATAGGTTTTACCGACTACGTAGGAACAAATCACTGGCTCAGATAAAAAAAAAAAAAAAAAAAAGCTATGCTATTTTTGTGCATCCAAGCCTTGAGACAAACGGGTCTACTTGTTTTTCAAGCCCAAAAGCACACGCTTTCTCGAAATCACAAATCGCCCCTCACCGAGTCTTTCACTCCAATACATAGTGTACATAACTTAATAACACAATCAAACAGCAGGAAGTTGTAGCAATAACGCTAAAACAATAGATCAATTGTAGACCGCTAGGGTCACAGCGGCAGGACTGTGACCTTGACGTTCCAAGTTAAGCAACAAACGACAACTAAGCATTAAGCACGCCTGGTGCTGGAAGTTCTCTCCCGTTCTAAAGAAAATCTTCACCTATTTAAACAGGTATTCAAACCTCGGTGTCCGTTTCCACATCAAAACTGAGAGTATGGTAGGAAAAAAAAAAGGACACTGAATTCTCTAGGAGGAAATCGAAGGCGTTCCAATGAGAAATCACCAGGAACTTGGAAAATGGAAGAAACTATTTGCAGTACTGGTTGACGATATCCACCCAGATTACTCACTGACTGGCTACACAGATTCATTAAAGCCTATAGTTGTATTCACAAAGCCCAATTCCTATCGCCTCAGAGTGTGATATACCACACATATGGTTACCCCAGATCACATTATTCTATTCTAGTTTGCTGTGGAAACCAGCCGTCAGTTCAGTGGAGTTTTACTTTCAAAATAAGTAGGAATATAGTTCCAGAGTTTAGTATTCAATGTAAGTTATATTATCCAAAAGGATCCCTCTTATTTATTTATCCAATTTTTACCCCGCCTTTACTACTTTATAAGGAAGTTAAGGTGGAGAACATACATAATACTCCTTTTTTTTCTTCTATTTTCCCCACAACAACAACCCTGTGAGGTGGTTGTGCCGTGAGAAAGGGATTGGCCCAAAGTCTCCCAGCTGGTTTTTCATGTCTAAGGCAGGACTAGAACTCACTGTCTCCTGGTGACTGGCCCAAAGTAACTTAACTGGCTTTCAGGCCTAGGGCAGAACTGGAACTCACCATCTCCTGGTGATTGGTAAAGCCACCCAGCCAGCTTTCACTCCTAAAACAGGATTAGAATTTGCCGTTTCCTGGTTTCTAAGCCAGCACATTGGCCACTACACCAAACTAGCACTCATAACTCTTATACTCTTAAATCGCTGCCACCCTTAGAGATTGATACCCAATGGCCTCTATTCTGGACACAGTCCCCAGAGTGAGTTCTAGGATTCCCAAGGAAGACAGGAAACAGGTGCAAAATAAAGAAAAATAAATGTGTTTTCTTCTCATCCTCACAGTCCTTTTGTCCTTTTGAACTTTTGTTCAACCTGGGCAATTTAGAATAGAAGCCACTGAAAAAGATATACAATCTCTGACTTTCTAAGAATGAAAAACCCAGCTGCAAAAAAGGGATAAACTCCATCGCTCAAATACTCCTACAGTATTATTTAATGCCCAATAACAAACCATATGATTTATACAACTATTTTTTATTTGTTTTCCCTCTTGCAAGAAACTCTTGGCAATTCTCTCTTTTTTCCTCCCTCTCTTTATGGCTGTGCTTACGCAAGTTAGTTTAAAAACTCAGTGGCTCCATTTGTCCAACTTTCTAAACCTGGAGATCTTAATCCTTGTTAGTTTTTTAATCTACAGGTGAAACTCAAACAATTAGAATATCGTGCAAAAGTTCATTTATTTCAGTAATGCAACTTAAAAAGTGAAACTAATATATGAGATAAGACTCATTACATGCAAAGCAAGATAGTTCAAGCCATGATATGTCATAATTGAGATGATTATGGCTTACAGCTCATGAAAACCCCAAAACCACAATCTCAGAAAATTAGAGTATTACATGCAATCAATAAAACAAGGATTGTACATAGAACAATATCGGACTTCTGAAAAGTATAAGCATAT